TCAAAGAATGATGTTCTTCTCCAAGGACTGGGCCCTCTTAGTTGTGTGCTCAAAGTATGTAATAAGGAGTTTAGTGTAACCCTTGCCAGAGAAGCATCCTGGTTTCACTCTGCAGGATAGACCTGTTTGTCCTATTTTTTTTTTAATTATTATTAAATTTTATTCGTTTTAGTGAACATTTACAGAGATTTTGGGTTTTCATTCATTCATTGTTGCACTGTTTTCTCTACCTTCCTCCCCAGTTAGTTCTTCTTCTCCCCCCCACCCGAATGTCTGTTTTAATTGTCCAATTGCCACAGTGCTTGTCAAAGCCAGTTCTGATTAATCTCCTTTGTCAGTGTGTTCTTTGCCATTCCCTATCTCTCCTCCTTGAGAGAGACTTCACCCTGATTCATAAGGAAAAGGGGATGGTGTATTCTCTTAGATACTTCCTGCTGAAAAGGGACACTGTAGGTTTCAGGGTGAAGATCTTCTCTCACTACTCTAAAGGGCCCCTTTGGCAGTAGGAAACACATAGACTATTATGGAGATTGATTTTGGAATTTAGATTCACTGTTCTATCAATTGTGCTTAGCCGTACATGTTCATATCCTTGAAGATGTATCATGGAAGTGTTGCAGCCTAGAAGACACAAATTTAACTAACAAGTTAAAAGTACGTGAGTCAAAAATTAAAAAGCAACAATATTCTGAGTAGAGGTTCTAAAAGTGGCACAAATCAAGTTACAGAGGGAAGGTGGTTCTTACAATAAAAGACCTATAGACTAGCACTTCGTCTATTATAGTGTAGAGGTTAGAAACCACAAGATGTAGAGGCTCAGCTATGCCATTTATGGTTCTTAAGTCCTGGAGGAAATTCCATCTACCACTGGATTGTTTTACAACTCGGAAGTTCACATGCAAGGTAGAGGTAAAGTAAGGAACTGCTTATGAGGTTTTCCGTCCATTCCAACAACTAAGAAATAGTGAAAAGAGTTGGGACCTCAGAAGGCTTTTAGGACCAATTAGTAGGCTCTGTGTCCAGGAGAAAATGAATACGAGTACTGTTAATGCTCACCCACAGCTCTTCTGGGAGGGTCTAAATCGTTGAAGCGTCCTCCTTTGTTTCCAGCTGGGAGCTGGGGCCTGTCAGTCATGTCTGCCACGAGGACCTGATGTGGGCCACCTTGGCCAGGTGTCCTTCAGAGCCACACTTAAAGCAAGTGAGTGGGTGCTTCCTCTCTACCCCTTTGCCTTTCTGTGGCTCTTGTCTGTGACACTGTCTACTGAAGTGGCCCAGCTTGTTTGTCCTCTTGAAATATCCATGGGATATATTTAGTAATCTTCTCCAGCACCACAACTCAAAGCCATTGATTGTTTTCCTGTCATCCTTACTCATTTTCCAGTTTCCAGGTGCATAGCCAGCAATTGAGAAGACTATGACTTGTATCGGGTGCACCTTAGTCTTAAATTAAACATTCATTATTCTTCAGTAGTCTGGAAAGGTCCTGACAGCAAATTTGTCCAATGTGATACTTTCTTGATTTCTTGACTGCCTGTACCAAGGGTGTCTATTATTAATCCAAATAAGATTAAATAGTTGACAATTTAAGTCTTCTGTCTATCATGACGTTGCCTATTGGCCTGGTGGTGAGGATTTTGTTTTCTTGATATTGAAATATATTTTATATTGAAGGCTAAAATCCTTGATCTTCTATATCAAGTGCTTCAAGTCCTCCTCACTTTAAGCAGGCAAGGTTGTATAATTTGCATAATTGTGGTTGATGAGTATTCTGATTTGATGCCACATTCCTTTTTTCTCTCTACTAGTTTATTTACAAAATTCAAATACAAATTCTTTCAATTTCCCTCACTCCCTGCCCATCAAATTGTACAACCCAGTGAGTAATCCCCCTTCTGCCTGCACATCCATATCACTCTGCTTCCAGCCTCTCCCACCCCTCCTTGATCCTTACACTCGTTCTACAATAACGGTTTTATACAATATTTTTATCCTTGTGGGACTGAGTCAGTCCATCCCAAGTTAGGTGATAATTTACAAAGTTATTGCTCCTGTGTGCTGCATAGTATTCCACTGTGTGAATGTACCATAAT